CCTTAATCAAACCAATCCTGCTTTATGGCTGTCAAGTCTTATGCCCCCACTCTAAAACAATGAGATACCTTTCAAAAATAGATGACAAAGCCAGCCCCCAGCATACCCTGAAGTACATTGCACAGGACCACTATGAGAAATTCCACCTAAAATTTATCAAGTGGTCTTTGTCCGTCCATTCAAAAGCATCAAATATAGGTTGCTGGGGCGAAAGTGGGCGCCACCCCCTATTCTTTGAAGCCTGCAAACTTGCAATAGATTACTATAGTCGCCTTGAAAGCACCGAAAATGAACTACTTTGTGCTGCATTTCACGAGCAGATCATGCTGGGCCTTCCTTGGTATACCAACATCTCAAAGCTTCTCACCAAATACAACTTCCCCCACTCATCTTCATCAAAATCTAAGCTCTCCACCCAAATCAGTCATAATATGAGGGAAGAATTCGTGAATACCTGGAAATCTGCCAAGGCCTCCTCACCAAAACTAGAATTCTATAACTTAATTAAACATGATTTTGAACCAGAGGCATACCTACGAATAATCAAAGTACCTGATTTTCGAAAAAGCTTGACAAGGTTTCGTATCAGCTGCCACAACCTCTACGTTGAAAGGGGCAGATACGAAACCCCTCTTGTACCAAGAGAAGAACGTTGGTGCACTTACTGCTTTTTCAGTAAAGGGCTCAAACCTATCGAGGACGAAAGCCATGTATTAATTGACTGTTTGCTTTACTCCTCAGTTAGGGAAAAATTCAACTTTTATCCCCAAAACATCACTGACCTAGCCGGTCTGCTCTCCAACAAAAATCTAGATCCTACCAAATTTACTGCCACAGCAAGAGCAATCCATTCAATTCTCTCTGTGAACGAACAATATACAGCCTATTATAAGAGCCCAGATTTCCACTCAAATACTGGCAAGTGCATAATGCTCTAGGAACTCAAAATAAACTCATGAACCATACAAATTTGATTTACTTAAAGAAAATAGCATTATATTATAACATTTCTATTTTATCCCTACACATTTGTAAATGATTAGAAGTGTGTAACTTAAATTATTTCAGAATTATAACTATTGTGAACTCAATAAAATAATTATCACTTTTGTATCCTTGTATCCTTGTATCCTACAATATATGGAACAAATATTTTACGAGTGTAACCCGTTAATAGTTTTGACGCAATAATATCTTGCCATGCGGTGGCAAAACATTTACTGCGAGTTTGTGGATATTTACCTGGGGACCTCAGGCATCAATACAGTTTCGGTGGAATGACAGGCTGAACGCCGCGTGGCCCAGTAAGTGGATTTTTCCATCGTTTATGGACTAAGCCGACGCGCACTACTTCATAGCATTTGCCTCAGGCAATATTTCGAGAAAAAGCGGCGCGCGCTACTTCGAAGAAATTTAGACGAGTAACATCCGTCAATAAGTGGATATGTGCTTTTTTACTTGTTGCTTGTTACCTGGGGACTTTTGTCATACGTTGTATGACCCGCCTGTATCGTTCAAACTCTACACTATACTCATTGTGAAGCGACAGTGGGGGTCACCACATGATATAAAGCGAACCCAGGCTATTTATTATGTTCATAAACATAGCGTGGCGTAATTGAACCTTCTAAAACGCGCAAATAGGCGTGTTCATGCAATTTTACAATCAAATAATCAGATTTTACAATCTAACTCAGCGCGCGGCTCTGTGAAACAAGCCCGCCCGCAGTCAGCAGTAGCTTACTGGGCGGCGCTCAGCCTGTCATTCCGCCGAATCTCTATTCGGATGATTATGAACATAAATATATAGCTTAAGGTCTTGAGTACGGATGTTACTCGTCTAAATTTCTTCAAAGTAGCGCGCGCCGCTTTCTTCTCGAAATTGGCCCGATGGCAAGTGCTACGAAGTAGCGCGCGCCGGTCCAGACCATTAACAATGGTCAACTTAAGGTTCCCAGGTAACTGAAACCCTAATTGTAGCGCGTTACCTGGGGACCTCAGGCTATCATGTTCATAAATATAGGCAGAATGACAGGCTGAGCGCGGCCCAGTAAGTAGCGCGATGCGTTACTGTGCCGCGCCGCGCACTCAATGAGGCTTCTCACAGCGAAATCTAGATTGGCGAGATGCGCTACTGTGCCGCGCCGAGCTGCGATGAATTGACATCGTCAATTAAAAACCCTAACTGCTAACCCTAATGAGAAATTAGACCAACTTCCTTATATTATATATGGCCATATCACGTGATCGACACAGTTTTTTTGCCTATATCTCGATTGAGACCATCGAAGACGAGTCACATGTTTTTACATATGTGACTTGTATTCAAAACAGAGGTCGAAATTAGTCAAAAATCTTTCTCAAATGCCACTCATTGAAATAAGCACTGAAATCACCGACTCAAGCAATATGAATGAAACAAATCTCAAAGTCCATCTTATGGAAATTTTGTCTCCTTACTCAACTGTAATTCCTCAAAATCACCAGAGCCTCCATAGATTACTGCCACCGTTCACTTAATATTCAACCAAACACCCCACCTAGTATATATCCAATTTCAAGAAAGGCGCTCCTATGCTGTCAATTGTTTGTGCACTTATTTCCTTCGCTGCTCCGAAAAGCGAAATAGCTTTACCGAAGATATATGCGTCAACGTAATTCAAATGCACGAAACTTAAACAATTTCACTATCAATTTGGTGAAAACCTCGCGAATTAGTCATAATTAAGCTTTAAGGATAACTCTTCACATAGCCATGTGTATACGCGTACTTGGTACTGCGTGACGCGCTTGTTTCACAAGTTGAATATTGCCGCCTACGGCGGTCGCGCGCTACTGCAAGCGAGAGGGCTCTGGTTAGAGCAAGGATAACTCTGGCCCTGACTTCAAGGAAAGATGAATGTTTTCATTAATTTCTGTACAATTATGACGGTCCATGATAATGGATCTAGCTATTATTTAATTTTAATCCTGTGTAAATCCTGTGTAATCCGATAATGATAGGGGAGCATTTTAATTTTATGTTCACCTAGCCATGTCTTTACTGGGCCGCGCTCAGCTTGTCATTCCGCCGAATCTCTATTCGGTGTTTATGAACATGATAGCCAGAGGTCCCCAGGTAAGTTTTTCTATCCAGAGAGGCCTCTGGATAGCTATAGAGCAAAACCCTATGTCATGTGGGATGATTCGGAATCAGTGTTCGAAAATACATCGAATCAAGTATTTACCTGGGGACCCCAGGCTATTATGTATTATGTTCATAAACATCCGCCGAATAAAGACTCGGCGGAATGACAGATTTTGAAAATTCGGACACACCTGGACAGGGGAAGGGGTGGTCTGAAAATCTGCGATTTTGGCAGACGTTGACGGATGTTACTCGTCTAAATTTCTTCGAAGTAGCGCGCGCCGCTTTCTTTTCGATGGCACGAGCTACGAAGTAGCGCGCGCCGGGCCAGATCATTAACAATGGTTAAGGCAGACGTCTTAAAATTAAATAGATGGCCCATACTCGTCAAAATGACTTTCATGATACGTTATGACTTTCATGATACGTTATACATTATAGGTCTTATCGAAATCAGCGTAAAAAATACATTGGTATATTTTACTTTCACAATCCCACAGCTTAACTTATAATTATATAACAAAAATGTATAAGCAATAAGCATGTACACAGAACGGTCGAAATATCATCGCGACCCTGGAAAACACTTTTCTCCACAGGTCTACGTTTCCAGTTATTACTGCTACCCTGATCATTATGAGCAGAAATCATTGTTATGATCCGGCCCTGCACTTTCCTAACTACTTACTTTAGCACTAGCACAGAGCGGCTCTTACTGATTCGCTCGCCCAAAAATTTCACGTGACTTTGGTTTTTATGGTTTTGCAGCCGTACAAAACGGTTTTACATAAACCCTAATCCCAACCCTAACCCTAACCCCGAAGCTAACCATAACCCTTACCACAACCCTAACCCTAACCATGAACCCTAAACAATCGAATTCATGTTTTACTAGCCTGTCACGTGACCAAAACGGTTTTTTGCCCATAAATCTGAGGAAGCATTTTTACCCTATGTCATGTGGGGTGATCCGGAATCAGCGTCCTAAAATACACCGATTCAGATCAATTTCACACCCGAAGGGCCTTTTCACAAGAATTTTCTTAAAATTTGGGCGAGCGATTTAGTAGGAGCGGCACAGAGCAGCCGGATACCCGACCGATTCCTAAATTTTATCACTATTAGAGTGTAGAGTGAAATTTGAATTAAAATATTGTCAAATTGTTATTATTCTAGAGGGTAAAAAGGAAAATTTTGGTTACGTAATCAAAATTTTCTCCTCCCCCCCCCCCCCGTAATCAGTAATCATTTGGGAACCCCCTCCCCCCTCGGCTGATTACGTAATGAAACCAGCTAAACAAGCGCGCACAGAGTATCAGTATGGAGTACGCGTAAGCACAATGCAATATGGTCAATGGTAAGGTAAATTTTGGGTGAAAGATGTATCACTCTTGAAAATTGTATATAAAAGTAACTCCAAAAGCAAATAATGATATACATAATATATTATGCCATGGGAACCGTAATTCGGCGGAAATCTCTAAATGGATTTTCGGGTTTTTACGAAGACCACATTGGGATCTTATTGCTAATTCTGTAAATACTACATTGAACTCCCCTTTTCGAACGCCGGCCAGCCGGAGTGCACAAAACGGATACGCTTAACGGACGATACTCTTAAAATATTGGTTCCAAGACCGTCGACGAGTCCAACTCCTTGTAGGTATAACATGTAGCAGATACTATCAACTATATACCTAACGGACACTCCAAGTCAATCTCAACTATTAATTATGAAGGTAAAATTAACTTTGACAATAGATCTAGCATTCAGTCACTACATGGACGCATATATGATAAATTTGTATTGTTGATATAATTCAATGTTTTACATCAGCACAGTATGTATTGAGTACACAAACAAAACAAACTCTTTAAATCGGGTAACTGGTAAATGATACTGATCATTATATTCAAAGGCTTGCAATTTGCAATTAACTGTCCAAATTAAGTTAACCAGTATGCACAAAATCTGCCCTTCTTTGGTTTACGCGGTTCAAATTCTTGTGAACGCTTCATATTTAAAATGTAGTCAAAATACTTCTTGAAAACGATTAACGATAATAATATTCTTGACATAACAATTTCGTAGGCTCAGTTATTGTGCATAACAGCAAAGGACAGATTTTGTCTATATCAAATCTCAGCGGGAATATCTATATCAATGACACATTTCTAACTTGATCTAATGCTGCTTCATTGTAGTCAACCAAATATTCTTGATTTTCTGTTACACGTACTGTTAGGTTAATGTGTCATATTCGTATCTTGGGCTCTTGATATCGGTTCTTAAAACGCTAATACACATGATCACCTCCCAACCTATTCTTATTCCAATATATTCATATGCAGTTTTCTCAAATTGTCACCCGGTGGGGGAAAAATAGTTGCCGACATTAATAGTTATTACGGCGATATAGCATTAATAACAAATGTTAAATCGGCAGGATATAGGGCGAAATATAGCATCAATATCATATTGACAATTCAAAACGCGACGATAATACATCATTTCTGTTTAAACACCATCTTTCGGAGTGGTATATCAGCATTATAATTTGACATCATATTTAACACCATTTACCCAAGTCAAGCAGTTTCATATGTGCTTATAACATTAACAAAATAAAGGGGGGAAAGAAAAGTTGTAGCCCATGCATCATCTTTATGTTGCTAAATTTTACAACTATAGCAAAAATAAATATTTGTTAAGATGTATATAAGAATTAAAAGATTAAAAGATCACATGATGTGACCAGCCCCTAAAGACGGGAAAGTTAAGTCAAATAAATTGCTGGGCCCGAGCGTTCTAATGTGTCACCAAGCGTCTTTCGATCAATACATCAATTATCTGAGCAGTCTCTTCTTAAAACTTGCAGTGGGGCGTGAGAAGCATTGCAGGGAACTGTACTGTATTATTAGTGCTCTGTCGTTTGTCATTGGGACTGACTGAAAGGGCTACCGCCCTCCCTTTCAACAGGCGAGTGGACGATGGGAGGTTGAGAGAATATTTCCCGGGGGACGGTGGCGGGCGGGAACATGGCGCGTGCCAGCGGCGGGAACTCTCGTGAGGTGTGTAGGTACGGAGGCGGGAAGGATCCCGGGGGAGGAACGAAGGTGTGGCGAGGGAGAAACTGTGAGGAGACAGCACCTGGTGGGAAGAGTGCTGGGTTGAAGGCGGGATAGTTGGTGCTGTTTCGAGATGTGGGGAACTCCCTAGCTGGGGACGCTTCCTCCTCGCTACCCGAACAATCCTGAACATTAGATCTGTCGATGCTGTTATATGAGCTTAGCCTTAGCTCTAACACTAGACTTGTTCTAGCTTAGCCTTAGCCTCTAACTAGAAATATTATCATAACTGAAACTCTTGCTAATTTGCAAAATTGCAAAATTTTTAACTTGCTGTTCACAACAAAACCTAATAAGTTGCATTCCAAACGATTAACGTAAATAGTACCGGGTCACCACGTCAAAAGCAACGGGTAAAATGAACAGACTAATTACAGAAGTTAATTACCTGTGGCTGTTCGCTTTCCTGAGTTTCGTCTTGCTGTTGATTTGGACTGTTGTTAAAATCGCCGTTTTTCCACTGTCCGTACTGCACCTTCTCCTCGGTTATACCATACTCGGGACTGTATTCCGCATTCGACTGTAACGGGACGTAAAACTAGAATTTCAAATAAACTGCTTTTCAATTAAAGTTCTAGGGATTCAACAATGGTCGTCAGTTGCTAATTCATTTGTACGTGGGTCTGGTCTGAAGAAGAGCAAACCCTGTAAAGAACATTCTTCAGAACAAAGCGAGACGCCGCTGACGTTTGGGTCGTGTCCGGGGAATGAAAAGTGCAACTCTTCTTGAAACTACTTACTGTGTTGGCTTCTTGGGTGGGAGTACTGGGACCTTCTTCATAACTCTCCCCAGAGAACAGTCTCTCTTTTCCTCCCTCCTCTGATGAAGAGACAGGATTTAAAATAATCAACTAAATTTCCGTTACCTTATTTATGCATAATCCTAGTTCATAAAACTATGAAATTCGAAGCAAATCAAATAACTATCAATGAAGTGTTAAACCCGAGTTTCTGAAATGAAGAACTAACCTTTTCCCTTGTTCTCAGTATTCTCATTTCCTCCATTGGTGTCCTTGTGCTGGCCAGCAGGAGAGGGTCTTTCTACCGATTTAGCGAAAAACTCGGCAGGATAAGTAGGGGGATCGTACGCTGGACTTGCGGGCGGGAAGTTGTTAGGTTCACCGGGGGTAGTGCTTTTAGGATAGGCTGCAGGAGGGGAACGGTGCACTATGTTAGGTTTTATATCTTGCTGGGACGGAGGTAGGGTTATGGGGATCTGTTTTACTGCAAGAGGCTCTTGGCTCGTCTCCAATAGGCTCAAATGTGCGTTTAATCTCTCTGGAGCCTCACCGAATAACATGAGAAGACTGATACAACTCGTCAAGCTCTTTCTGTTGATCGTTAAAAAGTTTTCAATCTTTGATTCCTGTTTGTCTAAATGAGAGCTCTTCAGCGCCTCAGCCGTCCGTTGCTGAATGTAATACACCCAAAAGTCTTTCTTATTATTCCAATTATTATAAAAATACTCCATGAAAGTAGCTGGTCCTGCCAGTTCCAGTTCTTTCAGGTTAATTGCGTAGTCAGTCTCGTTTTTAGCGTACACAACTCGCTCGAGCAGCTGAAGACAAAGTTTGTGTTTTTCCGCCCCATTCTCGACTCTTTCCCAATCACACGAGCTGTGGAGCCGTTTTCTCAGGTGCTCGTGTACATTGTCCAGGGATAGGTGGAAGATTGCCTTGCAGAATATGTTAATAGCCGAGGCTACCCATTCTATTGAGTGGTTCATGACGACAAGTTCAGCTTGTTTCTGAGTTATGGGGTTGAACCGTGCGAAGATGGTCAGTGCTATCTCGGCACTCCGCTGAACCGCACAGTTGATAAACGTCCACGCTACCAAGTACCTGTAACGAGAGAGAAATACATTAACACTCAAGTAATTGCTCGGCTAATTACCAACAATCAAGACAGTTTTTAAGCACCAATTATCTTAATAACCAACTCATCACCAACTAATTACTAACTTTTCTTCGCCTTTGTGCGCGTAGAACAGATGAAGAACGAAATCCTCCTTAGCTACAGGGTAGAGAGTGGACAGGGATAAGAGCCGGGGATTTGACTCAGCCAACTCTCTCATACTGCCACTCTGCCAGAACAGGATGTCTTGTCCTGAGGAAAATAGTCTGGTTAATTATCTGATCAGTCGGTAAAGTTAGCTTAAAGTTTACACAAATAGAATACATATTATTTGAGGCACAGAGATAAATTTGGAATATTTATTCATCTAATTATTCTAATAGCATTTCAGTTATACGTTCATCAGCAAATTATATGTGCCCAGGTTAAGAACCCTGGAATCACGAAGGATGGTTGTTAATTCTCTTAATTTTGGAGGAACTCCACACGATGTCAGAGACGGCCCACATAAAAATTAGTCAGCTATTTCTGGAAGTAACAGTAACTTTCTTCCGGGGTGAACTTTAAACATCACAGACGAATATTTAAATTTCACGGTCATTAAACTCACACACACACCATGTTCCCTCCCTCCTTTGTTAAAATAATATCTTCCTACTTTCCCACAGGAACATGATCTCCTACTTACAGGAGATTGTTCGGTTGTTACATGCCGCGGGATGGGTGTTGTGACGTTTGAACTGGCCCGGAATAAGAAAACTAATTCTGGTGGCGGACACCCTCAAATAATTTTAAGAATTACTGTCGTCGCCCCGCTTCATGGCGCATTAAAGCGAGCTGTCATGTGGCTGTAAAGTAAACCCATAGAGGTTGTTAATACTGGCACTAGCATGATAGACATGTTACCAAGTTACCAAACATGTAACCAAGTTACCAAACAAGTTACCAAGTTACCAAACATGTTAACAAGTTACCAACATTTTACCAAGTTACCAAACATGTAACCAAGTTACCAAACATGTTACCAAGTTACCAAACATGTTACCAAGTTGGTTGGCACGTGACTGATAATTGTACCATCAGCTTAATCATATTGCAAGTTGTTGGAGCTCAATCAAATTACTCAGCAGATATGTAGATCTAGTACTAGTATAATTTACATTGTAACATCTCCCTAATGATACCAACAACTAATTCACCTTATTACATGTCTCTTATCTCAAGATTCGAATATATAGGGAGGTACACGAACAGCATGAACCGTACAATGAATCTAGGGGCAAAAGAGCTCAATACACTGCGATTACAGAACAGTGAGGAACTATTGAGCTGTAGAAGAGTGGGGAATGTACACTGTACATACCTAGAGACTGAACATACCTAGAGACTGAACATACACAGAGACTGAACATACCTAGAGACTGAACATACACAGAGACTGAACATACCTAGAGACTGAACATACCTAGAGACTGAACATACCTAGTGACTGAACATACCTAGTGACTGGTGCTGTAGAGGGGTGAGGGAGGAGAGGGGGTGTGTTCGCAGGATACTGTGCGCTTTCAGCAACTCGTCACCTCGCTTCTGAAGATTTAAAAAATTATTTGTCCTTGTTCGTATAAAAAAGCTGACAATGTCGTTGGTGGTTTCAGTGTCTGTCTTATATTTGCATTTTCTTGAGCTTTAAAAGGGTATGATTGTCTCTCTTAAAAGCCATTTTTACCGACTCTCTCAAAGAATTTGTAACGGAGAATAAAATTCGATTTAACCAACAATTTGGGAGTCTTATTACATTACCCCTGGTTTAAAATGAGAGAAAAGCGCGGCAATGTTAAACATCCCCACAGACATACGGACCGTAAAACCAGTCACGCAGTGAAACTAAACCTCAGCCTACCACTAAATTAATTACTATAATTTACACACGAACTTACTCCGAGTTTTACCTTTTTAAAACTATCGGACGCGAAAGCTAAACGCCTGGCGAGAGGCGAGCTTGCAAAGTCTCCCTCTTACAGCTTGTTAAACCTACCTAAACCTGAAGGAACCCTTTAAAAACCACCTAAACCTACTTCTGGACCATCTCCAGAAGTTAGTTTAAGTTAAAAGTTACTTCTCAATAATATAAAGTTGACGTACCGGCACATTTTGAGCAGGGTTTGAGACCAGGTTGTTGGTACTGGCGTGTTGACTGGCGTACGACTGGCGCTGGGAGGAGTAGTTCTGCCGCTGAGGAGGAGAGGTTGTGATTAGAAACCTGGCTTTGAATAGTTGGCAGAGAAACCGCCAAGATGTGGATTGTAACCACGATTTGGTGTACCATTCTTACATTTGTGTGTGTGTGTGTGTGTGTGTGTGTGTGTGTGTGTGTGTGTGTGTGTGTGTGTGTGTGTGTGTGTGTGTGTGTGTGTGTGTGTGTGTGTGTGTGTGTGTGTGTGTGTGTGTGTGTGTGTGTGTGTGTGTGTGTGTGTGTGTGTGTGTGTGTGTGTGTGTGTGTGTGTGTGTGTATTGCCTTCATTTACACACATTTCACTTAATATCTACACTTACTAACTAGAGGAACTAATACCCAAATTTGCAAGGCTTTAAAGCTCACTTAGTAATCAGTCATCATGTAGTACAGACATGTAATTAATTGTACCACATCCACAATCCTACTCCAGATAAAGTAAAATAGAAAAGTCCATATCAAGTTACAGGGGCAGGGTTACACACACACAGCTCAATATTTGATATACGAGGATTGTTTTACACTAAAGCTACAGCGCCTGGCACAATAATCTCATTTTGAGTATTTCGGACAAGGAAGATAACACCCATACCTGAACTTTTCCTAGCTGGTGGTTGCTATGGGAACCGTTATACTTCGTTATCCGATAACGGCCCACTTTGGTGTCGAAATGTAAGCGAAGTTTAAAGCGACACTTTCTGTTGTTAGCCGCTTTGGAGTCCTCCATGTCTCGCCAAGACGCTGAAACAGGGTCGGGGTTAGAAATACAATTTCAACACTGCTACATTACAAATAATCTTGAAGTAGAAGAATGACGTTGAATGTAGAACAGCGCCCTTACGATGTTTGATAATAAGATTCAGGTTACAGATATTGGTTTTGTATACAGTGTACTTTGCACAGTGATATGGTCGCTACACACAGAGCACAGTAGCTAATAACGTGTACTAAGTGTACTAAACTAGGAAGCAGGCATACTTCACCCCACCAGGACATTTAAAGAACTTAGTTACATAATACTGGTCATGTTGGTCATGTTGAGTATACAAAGCACACATTAGACGAGACTGTCTGCTATACCCACCATTACCCACCCCCATACCACACAGACAGAGACAGCGTGTAATTATCCAGTCTACAGACCCCTACATGATGTTGATGTGGTCCACAACATCACGTGACCCCCCAACACAATACTAGCTCCCTAACAAAGGAGACCCATCTACAATCGGTCCCGGGGCACAATTAGCCCCGGAGTTATATTATATTGTGTGTGTGTTTCATACATGTGGTATACATTGGACACACACTGTCATGTTGAGCCCTGGTAGGGGGGATACGAGCCCGGTGTTTGAACACTAGAGCTACACGTAGTTACTACACGTGGCTCAGGAGGCAAGTTTGAAAATAAAACTAGAAAGGAGAAAGGGAATAGAAACACTTATTTGATGATGGTTGAATTGGAGCGGGAAACAATTGCAAAACAGTTTGTATAGCCTGTAGTGTTTGAAACATTGTATACAAAAGATCTTACCCTTGCCGTAGTAGAAACAGACGTATAGCACGTGCTTATAAGGGAAGTATGTAGCGTCATGACCGGTCTTACTGCTCCGTTTCTGTACCATAGTCTGGGTATCCGACAGGTACCGATCCCATAATACCTGAAGAAAGGGACAGGGATCAGGAAAAGTTATAAACGGTTATACCAAGAGTAATTAAATACGTGGATCTGATTGGGTAATGATTCGCCAGTTTGTCTATTGTTTATTTTACGTGGTCCCATTGTTATCCAGCAATAGCCAAACAACCTTGTTGTGATTCTCTTGAGTAAGAATCCTGTGTACTCATGAATATATTCCGCCGAAAAGCTCACACAGCTGACAACTGTCTGGCGTCACGCGTCACATTTTAAAAACACTCAACAAGCAATCACCTTGAACTGCTGGAAGTTAGCAAAGCTCTGCCCCTCGTAGAATGTGATACCGGTCTGGGGGGTACTCTCAATAAACTGCTGCTCCAGCTGTTGTCTCTGTTCCTCGATCCTGGGGGCGGGTGGGGGAGGAGGTTGTACCGGGTGGTGAGCCTGCACCGTCGGGGGTGGGTTATAGATGAAACTCCGGTACATCGGCACTACTCGGTAGCCCTGAAATTAGCAGGGATATGAGCTTACATTCCTGGTGAAAATAGCAGTGTGTGTGGAGCTGCCACATCATGTGGGATATGTGAGAGATTATTAAGCTCAAGGTGGGAGCGCTGATTGGAGATCATGGGCAATGTCACGTGGAATGTATGGAGTTATATCAAAGTGATATGTAGCTCTACAAAGAGCTCCACAAAGATTACCGTGGTAGAGTTTGCTTTGAAGGTAACTTTAGAGGTAACTTTCTTTGTGGAGATATCAATTTATAAAAATGTTGTCAGACGTTACAAAATAAACAAGACAGCTAAAATGAAACAAAGAAGTGATTGCGAAATTTCGGTAGGCACAATTCCATGAGAATAGTAGTACCTGTGTGGAGGGGTGAGGGTTGGGTTCAGTCAGCCAGCTCTTGCCCTTAAAAGTGGATGGAGGTGCGATGTCATGGTTTGTCTCCATCGGAGAGGGGTGGTGTTGTTCTCCTTCGTCACTCGAACCTCCACCATCGTCCAGAACCTGAAGTTGGAGACGGTTACATTTTACAGGTTTTAAAATTTATATGAGTTAACTTTTTAAGATAAGGATCCATCCATATTTCTAACGCTTGGTACGATAGAGAACGCAGCTAATGTTTTCATCATTATCCGAACACTGATATAACATCTAGCCAGACTGCAGACCAGTGTTTAAAACGGGGTATATTCTAATACTTTACAAGTTTGTTGTCTAATTCCCAAATTATCGACAGACAAGTAAGTTCCGAGACCGCCCCTTCCCACACGGATATTTGAAGATGTACATTTACAGTAATTAGATGGGGTACCTGGAGTTTGGTCAGAGATGACGAGCTATTTTGGGATCTTCTAATTCACGATTAATTGAGTGTGAAACACGAATACGAGAGATGACACGGTAGTCACAAGCCATGAAATGAGTCTTGTGAAATACATGGTGAGAAAATGCTACTCATCTCTTTCTCTCTCTCCCTCGCTCTCTCATTCCTTCTTGTCAAGTATGTACAACCCTGGCATGCACACACTTTGTGCTCCTTGTACGAACACTACTGGACAGTGGAAATAAATATACCATCTCCTAGCATTGGTCTGACACATAGCATAATATGCGCAACACTGTGCAAGTTATGTGCATACATCATGAGTTCACTACTTTTGGATACATCCAGAGAAAGAGAGACAAGTACAATATTATACTCTCCCGCCGTTTTCAAAACAATATACCCAGGGAGGTGAGGATGAGAAATTCAACATCACGTGGTTAGTCACGTGTTGTTTTGACTAATCAGCTGCTAAAAGCTGTCAAATAGACACCGCACAGCCAGCCTGGCTTTCTCTCCAGCCCTCAACTACAGGAATCAAACAGGCGTGGGGTGGCTGCTAAAATCGATTAAACAGAGCTCAAAATCAAAATGTGTGTCTCGCAAGATGTTACCAACAGATAGACTTGTGATTTGATTGGTCGCTGTTGAAAGCTGATCGGTTAAAATAACCCCCTCCTGGTTAATATGGCTGTTAAATGCCAGGTAAGAAAGTGTGGCTCACATCCCCCACCATTATTAACCAAGTTTATAAGCACCGGGATGAAAGCAATCGCGAAGCTCTAACACCAGAACAATGTGTAATTAGACAGTAATACTAGACACAGTAATACTAGACCCAGTAATACTAGACCCAGTAATACTAGACCCAGTCACTTACCCATGTCGCAGATGGAGGAGCGGAGAACTGGGGGTAATATCCGGGAGAGGGCGAGTAAGATCCTCCTGGAACTACGTTTTGCGGGTAGTTCAGATCCAGCTCAAAATCTTAGATAAACTACTACTAGTACTACAAGCAGGAGCTGGCGAACAAGCTAAACGATTACTGCATTAAATGAGGAGCGGGTCAAGAAGGAGAGGGAGATACTGGGAACTAAGAATACACTAATGCTCAAGTAGTCCAGCAATCCACCCACAGATTTGAATATATGTACAAAAACCGGCAAAATGGTAACTACTACGGACTATAGCAAGCGAGGTGTCCAAAATTTCCTGGTAGGGTAGTGATACACAAGACACTGACTCTCTCTCTTAGTGCAAAATACAATTTCCGGGTCCTATTAAAGTGTATAGAATTATTAGAACCTCATATAGATGAGCGTGTACGGAGTGTAATTAGGTTTATAAGGACATAATGAGGTTGCAATGGTGCTAATTAGAGTGGAATGGGGACCTGATAAGACATATGACAGGCAGGTATGTAGATAATGAGGGACTGGTGAAGCCAATGAGCTTGTTTGACGGTTTCGGATCCGTCTAATTAGAAAAATAAGTCAATTAAAAACACTCTAATTTCAGTTGAGGACGATCAAGACAGACTAAGATGAGGGTGATTGCTGTTTATCATTACTAAAGTTAAGGTCGTTATCAATAAAGTAAACAAACAAGCTCTCTCACCTCTTCCTTAATGATGTGCTGCTGGGGGGTAGGTGGTGGCTGCATGAGGGGTTGTTGAGGTAGAGTGTCCTGTGGTGGAGGTAGAGGGGGTAACATCTGCTGAGACTCCTGGCCGGAGTGGTTCCCCTCTTTTCCTTCTCCTTGCACAGGACTGTGGGCCTCCGGTCCGTTCCCTTGTGGGGGAGGCTGTTGGTGGTGGTCGCTCGGAGATCTCTGAATGTTCCCTTCTCGTCCCTCTGACGGCATATTCTGATCGTGGTGAATGTTCTGCGAGGATTCCGGCATTTCCTGGGAAGAGAGAGGAGGGGTCGTTTAGATTAATTCAAATGCTATTTATAACTTGTTAAAAATGGTGAGGGTATATTTCGCATTATACGCGATCAGTCATGAAGTGAAGACGAAAATATCGATTATCAGTATTGCATCGATAAATGCAGTAATTAACATAGATTATACTATAATTGATTTATAATGAAGAGCCGGCAACAATTCTTATAGAGACTCGGAATGTTACAATTATCATCCCAAACACAAAGAGATAATCAAAGGACCACTATTAACTAATTACAGTCCCCAGGTAGACTACACTACACACAGAGAGTCTCGCACAGTACACCAGGACCGGTGTGGTGTTATATAGTACCACACCAGGACCGGTGTGGTGTTATATAGTACCACACCAGGACCGGCGTGGTGTTGTGTAAGTACCTGTTAACAATTGGTAATAGTACGGTGTGCTGTGAAACAGAATGTTTTAATTAAATGAGAATAGTGTGGGAATACTGGTACAAGTGTGGTGGTGTACCTGTTTTTAGTGTGGGAATGTACCTGATTAGGACTAGTGTGGTGGTGTGGGTGTTGCTGAGGGAGGGGAGTACCGGAGGGAGGGGGTGGTGACACCTGACTCCCGCTCTGGGCCTGCTGCTCCTGGTCCGGACTGTAGCTGTAGTTGTTCTCTCCAGTGGGAGGTGGTGACTCCTTCCCTGGCGACCTGGACAACGAAATTATGTTTAATTTTGCGGATATACTACAGGTAACATTTATGAGGAACTAAGGTTAGATTCGTGCTAAAGATATAGCTTAATTTCGAACTCAATGTAAGATGTTTTCTGGCGGGTTCTTTTGTTTTATCTGAACAGAAGTTTGTACCTTTGTTGGCTGTGCTGCCGGTCTTCGTTAGAAGTGTTGTCGTGCTCAATGGCTGCAACATCTGAAATAACTGTAGTTAACTGAGCACGTAGAGTGAGGTACGCAGTGAAGTACATTTTCACGTACATTTGGCGTACATTTCACGTACATTTTCATATGCGATGTTCTGTGTTGAAACTGTGGTATGCGCACAAATCCGCGCTATCTTAATCTACTCTAGATTAGGGTGGCACAACATTCTGAAGAATCTGTGTAACATGGCATACTCCTTTCAACACCATATCTATATAATTGACCAGATCCGATATTATAGCAGCCATGATACGGAGGAGTACCGATGTCTGACCTCTGACAGGAGTTTTAACTTTGTTCGAGACGTGTCTGAATATTTAAGGACTCATGACATCAGGACATATTTTAGGCTTCCCGCAATACAATTTAAGAGTCCACCTGTTATTGTACAGTGTAATTACACGCGCAACGTTGAGGGAGTATATCAAAGAGAGAGAGGGCTCTCTAAATTTATTATGTCAGCCTGGATATAGTATAGAGTATACCTTACCGTGAGTTAACTTCGTTAAATTTGAATATAACTTAAGTAAACATCGCCGTAGTAACGGCGCTGATTCAAACAATTACGTTCGGATATTTAGTAAATACTACGGCCGACGAAAGCTGGAACTTTTCAACGGCCAGGGTTTCTTGAGAGCATTCCTAAAGACAGGATAGATTTAGCCGGGAGGAGAATAAATGTGTTTCAGAGCAGGTTCTAGTTAACTTTTTGGAGGCTTATAAGGAGTCTTAAACTGCTTATAATTTGTTTGTTTAAACCCAAGCGAAGAGACCAATGAGTCAAATTTGATTACGGGATGTTATGATATGATTTTTGTGAGGGATTGAGAGGGGTTAAATAGAATTATTACACAGATCAAACGACCCCACAAAGAATAACAAGTCCACAGTCTTTAAGAGTAATGTGATCAGAAAAAGTAAATAAAAAGACGTAATAGTAGTTCCTATAACTAAGATAAATATAATAACGTCGGTTTCTTACGCTTTCCATCGAGCCAATACATGGGGAACATATCAAAGGACATCCTCGATCCGGGGGACGATAAAAACGAAGACAATAATATTAAGATTGAGTGTAACAGGTATAATGAGGCCGAGTGATCATTAGTTATGAAAACTTCTCAAGAATTGAGGTTTTCATTTACGGTATACATAGTTAATTACGTGTTTCCAACGTTCTCTCTCTCTCTCTCCTCGGTTAAGGTCAACGGTTTCTGACTGTGTTTCCAACGCACACGTACGTGTTTCTAATTCTAACGTTGCAACTTGCAAAGTTGCAAAGTGTCATATATGAAAGTTAGAGCTGGGTAAATACTTTTCGTTTGCTTTGTACAGAATTATAATTTTAGAGAAGTATTGCAGGTGTCGATTGACTCACCTGTAATAAGTCCGGGTGATGTGGTGGGGGTGAGGGGCGACGATTTCTGGGAGGGTAGGATGTAGGGGTAGGGTTTAGCTCTCATCAGGAGACTGTAACACTTGGACGAGAGAGCGTTGTGCTGGTCCGACAGTACGTGATGGTGCTCCTGGAGTGGGGGAGTGTGGGTTAATGTTAACGGTCAACATTAGCTTCTAACGGCTAATCCTAACGTGACGTTGGGTCCTAACTTGAGGTCATAACTTGAGGTCTTTACTTTTAGGCCCTTACGTTAAATCCTATGAATATTGTAATTTTTATCAAAACAAGCACACTTAGAACTGAGTAATTAATTGTTGATGCACATTGAATAGACCATTCAGTTTTTAATATCAGAGTATTTCTCAATAACTTCCCATCACAATAGACGGTTGTTGTCTCAGATTTTAATATGATAACATAAGAAACGGCGAGTAAGAAGACACACAAATCCCACAACCAGACCCTGGTAATTGGCCACCATGATCAGATGACAGATCTGTGTATCATATGGCTTCTCCCACTAACATACCATGAGATGGGTTTTGATGAAATGAGCTTTGAGGAGGGCCTCGCAGAGAGGACATCTCAGGATAGTTGCGGGCGCTATCTCGGGCGGCGGGGGCGTGGTCTCCGCATGGGTCAGCAGGTACAGCCCCTCTACCGATAGCACTTGGTGGTGGTCCTGGAAGGGAGCCAGGGTTAGATAAAATTAGTATTGGAATCGTGCCAAGTACTGCTGTAAATCGAGACACGAATGTGCCGATTACAGAGGAGTGAGATTGTTCTGTCACTCTAGGTCGGGATTTAGCTGGTCGGATATGCTCCGCGACACGTAAGAAATAGTCACATGTCAAAACAAACTCTCTACAGAGACACCTTCGTAGTTCGTCATCTACACACATGGAAAAGTGCCGTGAGGGACAGTACCGGGAATTAACATTATCTCTTTACGAGTTGATACCTTTTGTACTAGCAGACTTGAGTCTTACCCGCCAAAACGATAATTGCGTTAAGAATAAGTGTAATAATGTATGTACCACAAAAACTTCTAAAAGTTCTATTTTGGTTTTCATTACAAATCCGTATTGGAAGTAGGATAAAATTAGCGGCACTGTCAGATTGAACATGATCTCAACTCCAACTTACAGTTAAATGAGTCTGAAGGGTTGCGTTGTCTTTTAGTAGTGCTTCACAGAGTAAACAGCGGGAAATCCTACTCATACCACGTTCTCAATGGCATTGGAATTGGCAGGGATTTACAGTGTAAAGGTTTGAGATCCTCTTCTGATCATTACATCAATGTAGAAGGTAGATAGGTGAGTTCAAGACATCGGGTTACATCCTGGTAAAGAGAAGGAAAATTAGTTTTTGAGTTTTTTTTTTCAGTACTGAAAAAAACTGGAAGTCGTTATATACGTTGAGAGATGTCTTGTACTAGGAGGAATTTCAACAGGCAAGTGTTGTAACCGAATCTTTAGAAGGGCTTCGCGGTATATAAATGTACGTGCATATAGAGTACAAGCTTTAATTTGTTGTAAGTTCAACTACCGATCGGCGTTTTGTCAGCTTGTATCATGAAATGCAGGACATTTCCAAGTATGTCCCATAATAGAATGTTATCAAAATCACATAAAAACACAATGATACTATAAATTCCTCAAGTATACATTTACATATTGTCAAAAAATAGTCATATAAATCTCGGTACAAATTCTTAAAGTTTACTTCCAATAAATCTAATTTTCTAAAAGTTCACAAATGAACCAACTTCATAAATATATAATTTAACACGAAATTTTCAATTAAAACAATTACAACTTAAAAATATGCGGAACAAAAGAATCATATTTCAGTTCAAAATGGTGAGGTGAAACGAAATGATTTAAACAAAGAAAAACCCAAATATTGGGTGGAATGGATCGTCCCTTTTCAGTTTTTTTCTTACACAAAGAAAGAAATGATTTTGAAAAACTATAATTACTGTTCATATCTAATAGCGAAACTTATTTATAAGTTGTATGTGAACAATATTCAGTATTCCCCTTATACCCCTAATACCCTGAACATGAATATGCCCACAAAAAGTTATCCCTATAGTTAAACAGAACTTCCCCTAAAATCTTCAGGATCAAATAGTATACCAAAAGAGTAGTAAAAATATAGTGGGATACTGCAGATATAATGACAGTTTTTTCGCCCAATAGTCCCAATTGTCTCTAAGTTTCTTCTCCCCTTACATAACTTGCCACGCAGGCTCCCAGCGCTGTAATCAGGCGCACAAAACCAGTATCAGACGGTTTCTCCAGACCTCGGTGAGCTCTCTCTTTGAGTACGCTTATAAACTCTCTGTTACTCAGCAGCTCATCCCCGTTGTCGTCAAATATTGTGAATACCACGTCAACAATGTGAGGGTCCAGTTCCACATCGGCTACCACGTGGGCAACTTGTTTTAGAGAGGCTTTGTTAAACTTCATTCCGGCTGAGAAATATACTGACACAAGAATTTCAACGTCATCCAGATGATCTAGAAAGTGGTTGAAGGTCATGAATTGCTCAAATGTAATGCCTTGGCTTTCTTCTTCATTCTTGTAAAACTTTTTAACCCGCCTGACAAACTTGGACTTTGCCTGGTTGCTCAGTGTAGCGTGTAACAGGAGCAGGTGAGCGAAATCTTGCTCAGTTATCTTACCGTCCACTGGATCGTACTTGTTGAACTCCATTCTGAATACATCCTCCTTCATTCCGTCCATGAAAACAACAAAGTCGTCAAGAGTGAGCTTTTTGTTGGTGTCCTTCCCAAAGAAGTAGTTAGTGAGCGCACTGTGCCCGTCTTTGTTGATAGTATTCCCACTGTACACGTTGTCTTTGTGCCTCTTCCCCATAGAGCTCCTGGACTCAAGCACCGAGCGGGTATCCAGGAACTCCTGGTAACTAACACACCCGTCACCGTACAAATCAAACATTTTGAATGCAATCTCACAGTCATGTTTGGGAGTGGAGAGGAGGGTGAGGAGGAAGATGTAGTCTTGGAAGCTGATGAGACCGTGTTGGGCCAGTTTGGAGAGGAAGGTCTGTTCTCCGTCAACGTTACCGTCAATATGCTGTATAGACTTAGTAGCGGGTATGTCTCGGTACATGTCCAGTCCGAGGTGGGACGGTTGCAGCTCCCCGGGTGTTATGGATCTCATGAAATCTTTAGGAGTCATAAATATCTCCTTTTTAACATTCTCAAAGTCGACCCGGACAGTTGCGAAGTAGCGGAAAATCTTGTCTGGTGTTGAGAACTCTCTGATTCTGTTCTCGTACTCCATCACTTTTCTCTCCTGAAAACCTTTCTTCTTTTTCTTTTTCGGCTTTTCTTCATCTACCTCACCGTCGGCTGGCTCGATGCTTTCGCTTGTTTCTTCGATAGCTTTTTCCTTGCACTTAGCGGTGACAGCTAGCCCCAAACCACCAAGTAAACCAAGCTTCAAATAGGTGTTAGGATCAGTGTTCCGGGACTGGTGGTTACCACTGTTTTGTGTCGAAGATAATGCGCCCAACTGTCGAGTCATTCGAACCAAACCACCATTACGAAGTACTTGCAATCCCAATCTGCTCATTGTCATGCAGCCGTCAGTTAAATTACTCTACTAAAATTGTTCGTTATATAATAGTGTTGACTGTTTCAAAGTTTACGATCCTCTTCCGATCATTACATCAAGATAGATGTCTTTACATCATCAGGTTACATCCTGACTAAGAAAGATATTATGAGTTTTGGAGCTCATATTTGATATCTGAAACAATCTGGGAGTCATTATAAATATATGTTGAGAGATGTCTCATTGTACTTGGAGGTATTTAAACAGGCAAGATAGTGTTGTAACGGCATTATAAAGCACGGCTTCCCGACATATAAATGTACACATGTAATACAAGTTTTAACAACCAATCCGGTTTTTGCAAGCTTGTAAAAAAAGGGAGGACAGCTGTATTAAAAAAAAGAGAATATTAAGTTTGAACTTAACAGGATATCGAGTAATTTGATGCCGCGTTCCTGGCGCCAAAATACACACGAAATCTACTACAAAACAAAATTCCAGGCAATTAGTCACGGTTTACCTTTAGTCTCCACAAGAGAGGGAACAGGGAACAACAGAAGTGATTATAATATAATCCATTATTATACCGTGCCAGCTGTGTCAATTATCCTATACGTATCACGCACTGCTGGAAGTATGGACATATCAGAATACCGTGTTGTGATCAACGACCGTATACAAAATACTAGTCATTGATCAGCTCAGCAACTTGGAATATTGTGTAGCTAGCCAACATACAAAGAGACAAATAGACACGTCCATTTAACACGGATCACTAAGAAGAGAATCATGCTTTATAATTCCCCTCACACTCCCTTCACACCCGATTCTTTGCTGCATACCAAACGGAGCTAATCCGGTTGCCAAAGAAACTACATTAGAAAAGCAATCAGAGAGCGCTATTCTGCAGCATCATCACACCACTTGTGAGACATTATCTCCACACATTATATGTACACACACACTCTCTCTCTCTCTCTCTCTCTCTCTCTCTCTCTCTCTCTCTCTCTTTTGAGAGATACCCCTACCCTCCCTCTCTCTCTCTCTCTCTCGCTTTACCACTCCTCCAAATATACCAGCTATGGTATAATCGAACATCACCACCAGTCAGCCACTAAAATCTCTGTAGCGAGGCAGAGAGAGAGAGAGTGAGAGAGAGAGTGAGAGAGAGGGGGTAGAGTACGAGAGTATCGCTAAAAGGTAGCCTCAACCCATTCTCTCTCCCTCTCTCTTTCTCTTTACTTACTCAAGTTGAGAGGCAGCTGGAGCAGGTTCAGAATGTTCCACCCTCTGGCCACCTAACACGGTTACCGTCTAATGGACTCTGGGGTGGAGCCCACTCGATAACTATAAACTGTTTTCAGACCACCTATAATGGCCTCCCCCCGCGTAATGGTTCGTATTACGCGAGTATGATAATGGTGTAGAGCACAGCAGACTAGCTCTAACATTGTGTAATATACTCCCACGTTGTGTGATGGCAACCTATAATGTTCATTTAGCGATCATCTGATTGGACTTTGGAGGAGCAGGTGGGCACTGATCGTTTAGACAAGAAATGCCACCAAAATGTCATATTCATGTACGCAACAATCGATCAACATATCATCTCTAATATTAACATCCAACAGTTAAATCTAACGTTGTGAGCTAAACAGATACTTTCCAACAGCTGTGTGAGTCAAGGTTTCTGTGGTCTGTGTGTGTAGCTGTACACACTACCATTTATAGAGTACAAAGCATCATGCCCCTGAAATAGCAAGCATGCCAATGTTAGGGATAATAGTTGTACGGAAATAAACAATAAACACTGACGCTTATAATACACAATCATAGATCAAACAGTTAAGAAGAAGACTCAGATAAGTAGAATGTAGATAGTGTTTACTGAAGAAGACTCAGATAAGTAGAATGTAGATAGTGTTTACTGAACAAGACTCAGATAAGTAGAATGTAGATAGTGTTTACTGAAGAAGACTCAGATAAGTATAATGTAGATAGTGTTTACTGAAGAAGACTCAGATAAGTAGAATGTAGATAGTGTTTACTGAAGAAGACTCAGATAAGTAGAATGTAGATAGTGTTTACTGAAGAAGACTCAGATAAGTAGAATGTAGATAGTGTTTACTGAAGAAGACTCAGATAAGTAGAATGTAGATAGTGTTTACTGCTATCGTTTTGTATAATAACTGCTTTGGGAGAGCCTATTACTGTCTAATTCTGCCCAATTTCAACGCGCAATGCAATCTTACCGGCATCATCTTGGGACACGCCCTCCTGCTTAAATTCGAAGCCATACCAAGTCCCGCATAATAATATATGGGTCGAAAATGCAATGTTCAATATTATGGTAGTTATTGTCTGAGGACACCAATAATATTATTATTCGTCAAACCCAATTCAATTATGGTCTCCATGGTAGGCTGCGTGAGGTGATTTAGCCAAACATTTCTCTGCGACCGACTGGGACCAAATAATTTCCACGCATCACCCAGGTTATGTGTATAAAAGAGGGTAAGGAGTTTCTGTGGAACTGGTGAGGATGGAATGAACAATGACACGTATATCTTTCATCACATTACTCAGCTGCTGGGTACAGGGGGTACTAAGTGGTTTACCTATATTGTGTAGGGTGTCTGGTTATGCAACCAATCACCGTTATGCAACCAATCACCGTAAAGAGAACTCGGTCATTTGAAGGGGTAACCAGCTGTTCAAACTATATTCTGAGTTGCATAATTCAATCAACCTTTAACGCTGTTAACACTGTTTAATTCACTCTCCACAACTCCGACTATATATGCCTTTGAAAAGCGCGCCAACTGTTCATTAAAAGGTTCCTATTACAACACACACACGTGTGGAACTCTACGTTCATTAAGAGGTCCCTGTTATCAAGTGAGGGTAACTCACCAGATGTTGTCCAATGTTCTCTCCATCTCTCTCTCTCAAAATTGTAACACAGAGATGTGTGTTCTAAACAACATAAAACAGGTGTGTAAAGTTACACACGCATATACAGAGTTAAAATAATGGAGAGAGAGAGAGAGAGAGAGAGAGAGAGAGAGAGAGAGAGAGAGAGAGAGAGAGAGAGAGAGAGAGAGAGAGAGAGAGAGAGAGAAAGAGAGGGAGGGAAAGGGGAGGGAGAGAGAGAGAGAGAGAGAGAGAGAGAGAGAGAGAGAGAGAGAGAGAGAGAGAGAGAGAGAGAGAGAGAGAGAGAGAGAGAGAGAGAGAGAGAGAGAGAGAGAGAGAGAGAGAGAGAGAGAGAGGGGGGGAGAGGGAGAGGGAGCTGGGAGATGTATATTGCTAAACACCTCCCTGCAACGGTATTGGAGACTGGTTAGGTTATCCCATGTTGATAATAAAGGAGCGATAAAATGTGAAGTTACCAGTAAGAAGCTCAGCCGGGGATTCTTCTGTTTGGGGCACACAAAGGGTACGGCGATCAGGGCGCCCGGCCTCACTAAACCGGGGCATTTTACCGCACCGGGCCACATTACCGCATTTAAGTGGACCAGAAGTTTTGATTTGCGGTGTCTGTTGTGACGATTATACAGCACATTACAACACGATGCCTTTTAACTAGGTATGGGCGAGAGAAATATTATTTTAACATGCACTTATGTGTTGAGGCAACAGCGTCAATACAAGGCAAAGTCACGTACACTCAACAGCAGCTCTGTGCAGTTCCATCTCCACACTAAAAAAGGAGCTCCAGTCTCCTGATCTGACTCTGAACATGTTCTAGAACTTCCCGGCGCCAAACTGAAGTATATCAGCAGAGGAGATACAATTAGTTGGGTCTTAACACTCGACAAGTTGAACTCGACCCCTATGTCTAATCAATACCTCAAGACCTATCAGTGCTGTTTATTTGCAGGGTTGTCTACACTCTCCAAGAACCAGACATCGGGTTTGTGTGTGTGTGTGTGTGTGTGTGTGTGTGTGTGTGTGTGTGTGTGTGTGTGTGTGTGTGTGTGTGTGTGTGTGTGTGTGTGTGTGTGTGTGTGTGTGTGTGTGTGTGTGTGTGTGTGTGTGTGTGAGAGAGAGCTGCTTTCACTTTTATGGAGCACAGAATGTAGGTGTCACATAATGTAGGTGTCACAGTATAATATCCTAGCTCTCCTCGCATTACACCAGCTCACAAGGCACACTCACAGCGCTCTCCCTCTCTCTCTACCTCTCTCTCCCTCTCTGTCCAGGTTTACTGTGCCTGCATTATATGCTGCTGCTGATGACAGGCTGCCAACGACTAATAAACCATCACAACACCAGCTGTTCAGATAATAAACGAGTCAGCAATACAACAAACTTTAAACCTGCTCGAGCGGCAGTCAGGAGAACTACAGAACTACACTACTCGGCGGTATAATTACAAGAACTGGCTCGTTGCTGCTTGGGAGCTCTAATTGTGCAGCGGCGGCTCTCAGCTGTTTACACCTTCATACTTCTTCAGGGGTTATAATATGTCCCGGAGATCAGGTATATACTATATTAGAGTTTGTTTCGTGGTTTTATAGCTCGGATCAGGATATTGTGGTTGGATATTATAACAAAGTGGAAAATTCTGAATCATGCGACTAATTTTGGCGGCAAAACACGCTTTAAAACGCACAATGGGTATACTTGCTATTTAACAGCTTTAGTCTTTACCCGACATTAAAATAGAAAGTACAACTTAAAGAATTCTACATCTTAAATTACGGAATCACAAAAAAAGCGACTCCAGAACTGGGTGGGAAGCGTGGCATATCATTAACATGACATATTTATTATTCATTTTCTGTTCATGTGACTGTAGCTGCCGCTGACCACCCGTTAAATATTCAACTATCGAGCCTTTGAAGTGGGAGCAGCTAATAGCCGGCCTAATTTAGGAGCTACCTGGCAAGCAGTTTTAAATATCACAGTCCTTGCTTGAAAATTGGTTACATCCAGATTCCAGAAATGTTACAAGTTATTCAAGTTTTTGTCATGGAATTGAGGGGTTAATCGCCACATGTGATTATTCCAAAATACAGTGCAGTGGACGTGTGAAGTTTGCACCACAATTAAGTGGGTTTAAAGACATATATCCGTGAGCATCAAGAATTAAAATAAGCTTTTAACCGCTCAAAGGCATTATAATCAGCAACACTTTCCGATACGGAGCGGAGGTTCCTACACCAAATTCAATCTGCAGTCCAAGACAGGGTTCTTGT